AGAATTTAGTAAGGTATTTATGACAGAATTTAGTAGGATTGTTATGGCAGAATTTAGTAAGATAGATATGACAGAATTTAGTACAGTAGTTATGGCAGAATTTAGTAAGATAGATTGAACATATTTCGTCTATAGATGAAAATATACGACTAAACAAGCCTCATGTTGGCCGCGTGTAGTAGCTGTCTAAACGCAAAACATCAAATCATTTAAAACTATACACACAGGCTAAAAACATAACCTGATGATTGTGACATATTGCTAGAGTTAGTAAAGGGTAACGTTTGTCACTATTATGTTGTTTTTACTAACTAAAGTAATGGGTACTTGTATGTCATTGTTAGGTTGTTCTTACTGATTAAAGTAAATGACACTTTTTTCACAGTCAGGTTGTTCTTACTGACTAAAGTAATGGGTACTTGTATGTCATTGTTAGGTTGTTCTTACTAACTAAAGTAAAGGACACTTGTTTGTCATAGTTCGATTGTTCTTACTAACTAAAGTAAAGGGCACTTGTTTGTCATTGTTAGGTTGCTCTTACTGACTAAAGTAAAGGGCACTCGTTTGTCATTGTTCGGTTGTTCTTACTAACTAAAGTAATGGGCACTTGTTTGTCATTGTTCGGTTGTTCTTACTAACTAAAGTAAAGGATACTTGTTTGTTATTGTTAGGTAGTTCTTACTGACTAAAGTAAGGGACACTTGTTTGTCACTGTTAGGCTGTTCTTACTCACTAAAGTAAATGGTACATGTTTATTACTGTTAAATAAATGTTCACCATTATTAATTTCTACAATGTAAATACATATTATCTGTGTAAGTTGATTCTTTATGCACTTTCGTGAGAGTTTAGTTGGTCGTTACTTCCTTGGTTTGGTCGAACTTTCAGTTTCTTCCAGCTGCCAACGAACCAAAAAACACTAACATCAGTTTTCCTTAGAGCCTTTAATGTTCTAACACTAACATTAGTTTTCCTTAGAGCCTTTAATGTTCTAACACTAAGACCAGTTTTTCTTAGTACCCCTTTAATATTCTAACACGAACATCAGTTTTCCTTAGAGCCTTTAATGTTCTAACACTAACATTAGTTTTCCTTAGAGCCTTTAATGTTCTAACACTAACATTAGTTTTCCTTAGAGCCTTTAATGTTCTAACACTAACATTAGTTTTCCTTAGAGCCTTTAATGTTCTAACACCAACATTAGTTTCCTTAGAGCCTTTAATGTTCTAACACTAACATCAGTTTTCTTAGTACCCCTTTAATATTCTAACACGAACATCAGTTTTCCTTAGAGCCTTTAATGTTCTAACACTAACATTAGTTTTCCTTAGAGCCTTTAATGTTCTAACACCAACATTAGTTTCCTTAGAGCCTTTAATGTTCTAACACTAACATCAGTTTTCTTAGTACCCCTTTAATGTTCTAACGCTAACATTAGTTTTCCTTAGAGCCTTTAATTTTCTAACACCAACATTAGTTTTCCTTAGAGCTTTTAATGTTCTAACACTAACATTAGTTTTCCTTAGAGCCTTTAATTTTCTAACACCAACATTAGTTTTCCTTAGAGCTTTTAATGTTCTAACACTAACATTAGTTTTCCTTAGTACAGCCTTTAATGTTCTAACACTAACACTAGTTTTTTTTATACATCCTTTAACACTGAAACACTAACATCGGTTTTTCTTAGAGCCTTCAATGTTCTACCATTAACACCATTTTTTCTTTATACATCCTTTAATGCTGTAACACTGACATCAGTTTCCTTGGTACAGCCTTCAATGCTGTAACACTAACATCAGATTCCTTTTATACAGCTTTCAACGCTATAAACTAACATCAGTTTCATTGGTGCAGCCTTTAACGCTCTAAATGTTAACAATTGTTACACGCACATTTAGTTTCGCTTAGTTTAACAAATACCCCACCACCCACTATACTGAAAGAACCTAATAACTAGGAAAATAATGGTATATAAAGTGTTTACTTACGATGTGTAAAAAACGCCGAGTAGTACCACCAGTAGTAACAGACCAACTACAGTAAGCAGAGCAATTACACCAATCTCCCAGTCTTCTAGTTCACGTCCGGCCTTATAAACTGCAAATAAAACATTAAATTTGATTCATTTCTTCATCCTCTGATAGAGAATGTAAAGTGTTTTTATGTGAATAAATTAAGTTTTTTACTCCTTTATTTCTGTCTGATTCATGTTTAACAGATTGATGCATATTCTGAAAGAATGTTTTCCTAATGGATAAACTATTATTGCATTGTATGGAAATTAGCTTAACAGAAATTAATTGGATATACCTGTTCTTTAGCCAGGTTAACTCATAAAACAACTATTGATAAATAGCCTTGTCAAAATTGTGAAAATTTCACTTTTGTTCAGAGGGTTAAGTAAATGAAACACGTATCGTTCAATGGCTTTGTCAAGAGCGTCAAAAATTTACTATTGTTGAAAAGGCTAAGTTATAAGACAGTTATTATTCAACGGCTTTTAAAAGATCCTTAAAAATTTACTATTGTTCAGAAGGCTAAGTCATATGATAGATGTTGGTAAACAGCTTTTTCAAGATCGCCAAAAATTCACTATTGTTCAGAGGGTTAAGTCATAAGATAGCTATTGTTCAGAGAGCTAAGTCATAGAAGAATGTATTAACACCAACTTTACTTCGATACCAATCGAACGTAAATAATATCAAAAGCTGCTTTAGTAAATATTTGGACAAATCTACAGAGAAATCACACAAGACAAAAACTGAGTGATGTGATGTTAAAAAAACTTACTTTGTTAAATACTTGAAAACTTCGGACAAATCTACAGAGAATTAAATAGATCAATACTATATATATATATATATATGGTGTTTTTCTTTTATTGACCAGGGAAACTGAGAATTCCCCGACTGCTATGAATAAGGTTCTACATTTTGGATTTAGGGAAAACAAAATTCAACTCTATACTTAAGAATCTAATTTTTATCTGGGCAGGAAAGTGGAAAATGTGCGCTATAAATTGAGACTTAACTTTTTGAATAGGTTATTACAAGTTGATGAAAAACTGATTTCCTACCGACACATTTTGTCCTTCCTCGACAAATCATGGTTGTTGGTTGAGGGTTACATCTCAGTTCTCCCGTCATTTTACAATAGCTACGTTTGTTTGGAAGAGAAGACATCTTACCGGATGTGTCTTTCATTGCAACATCTGTTTTGTTTTCTATCACTTGCTCCATATCAGAAAGATGGTGGATGTTATAAGCTTGAAAAATACGTTGTTGTGGATTAAATTTCCTGACCGCAGAAAAGCTGTTTCTCAGAAATGTTTCTTTTGATACTGAAGTGTTAGTATCGTCAGCTCCAGAGGGCGCAACGATCGTGATGTCAGTGGGAAGTATCCCAGGCTTTAAGTTAGGTAACATAGCTGTAGTGTGATGTGTGATGTTGTCCATCTTACTGGATGTTTTGAATATCACATCTTCATCAAACGCTGGCTCATCGTTTTGATATTCTGTCAAAAAGTACATAAATTCAACTTTGATCTTCAACACCTTAATTCTTAGCAGGTTTAACTTCATCAAAATTTTAATATTTTAGAGTTTACTTTTTTACAATTTCACATTCATGAAGTCATTCTAATAAAAGCAACGTCTCATTCTACGTGTCCAGTGCTATACCTTGACCTAGAGCATCTTGTGGTTCACTAACTAAAGCAGCTTAAACATCTAACTGACTTAAAACCTTTTTACTAGAATTTCCTAATTATTGATGTGATACTATACCTATAAGAATTCTCATAGGTCAGTACAGTGGTCAGCTACTTCTCATACAGTCACTTTATCAACCTTAGATGGACAGTTATCGGTCAGTTAACATTAAGGTGAAAATGTGTGTTTAGAGCTGTTACTATACACATCATATGTGAAATTAATAATTCTACCTATTCATGTTTTTTATCAACTTGAATTGTTACTATACACATCATATGTGAAATTAATAATTCTACCTATTCATGTTTTTTATCAACTTGAATTGTTACTATACACATCGTATTT